AATTGGAACACTGTAAAAGAGGAAAATCAGTATTGTAGATAAACCTCTGGTTTATTCTAGAAAGGGGTTAACATGGACTGATAAGTCGTGTCACAGTTGGGAGAGAAGTTAAATGGAATAGACACGTCATCAAGGTGATGTTCAAATAACTGAATGTCTTCTTGTTAATATGACTTTTAAAGTCTAGAGCTTCAAGTCCTTAGTGTTGTTCTTTGTAAACCTGTGACCCGAGTCCCCCTTTTTCTGAAAACCGCATGCACCTTTCTTAACCAATAGGTAAGAAATCACTATATTTAACTGCGTGCTGGGGAAGGGGTGGAAATCAGCATCACAATTGTCTCCTGCTTGATCCCATCTCAAATCTGTTTAAATTGGAATGCTGTTCAAGTTGTATTGCAAATTTAAAGTAGCTGCCTTAAGATCTTCTGTGAGTGAAGTGTGGTGTTTCTGAGTTTGAGAGAAATCATACCTCCCCTTGTAAGTGGGATGATGCAGGTGTTGCCCTTTGGAGAAGCCTGGATTGATGAGATAAATTGACTGTAACTCTGGCTGAGGCACCTCAGTGGGGCTCCTGGAGCTGGGCACCCTGGTGCCTGCTGCTTGTCCCCTCTTTTGAAACCACACTTCGTGTTTTTCCTGGTTTATAATTCAATCTGGAAGTTCCCTTTGGTAACTTGGAACTTTTCTTTTAAGGAACAACTTAGATCTCCAGTGGCCACCAGAAAGACTCAGATTTGGTGGCTGAAGGGGTCTGCACTTAACCCCAACAATGAGGTTTTCCACTTTTTCCCACCTTTTGGTGGCAGAAATCTTCCATTCTCAGCTTAGAGCCTTATTAGTGTATTTGTTGGCTTCACTGTGCAGGACTTAGAGTGGTTGTTCATCCTGGCAGGTATGCTCTTGCAAAGCTGATTTGGGGATGAATGACTTTGGTTTGTATGAGTAAGAGTATACTCAGCATTGTCTCATACACTGTAAATTTTGCCACTCTGGGTAAAGTGTCTAGTATTGATTATTCACATTCTGTGCAGACACCCAAAAAAGGGCAAGGGAGCATTCTTTAAGTCAGAATGTGGAAAATTATAATGTCACCATTATTTACTGCAGTAATAATGATTCACCAATATTTTACATTGTCAATACCAGCATTAACTTCAGCAGTCAGACTTGCACTGAGAGCATTTTAAAATCACTGTTCTCCTTTCCTGTTACTGACAGCTTTGCTAGTTTAAGATGTCATATAAAATATAGGCATGAAATAGGGTTGAAAATTTGATTTACCTTTTCCCTTCTCCCTAATACATTTCCCTTACTAAAGTTGTTTTTCAGCAGTGGTTTTGTAAGAAGCTGTGTGAGGCTTTCAGCCAGGACTCACACAGAACACTGTAAACCTGAGGTTCTAATGCATGCTGGTCCTTTAAAGCACTTGCACGTCACGGTAATGATGTGAAGCACATCCTTTGAAGGTAGCATATGAAGACTGTCCTTGGAGTTGCTGTGGATTCATGTTAATATTGATGAGAAGCACTTCAGCTCTCTGCAGTTCATTAGCTGTTACTTGCCTGTGTCAATCCACAAGTCCCTGGGCTGCTGGAGCATGGTGCTGTTGGCGAAGTCAGTTCACAACTTCTGGTGTTGCATTTCTGCTCCTGTCTCCAACACCAGAGCTCCACTTTGAGAAAGGCTGGGTTTGGATTTCTCCTTGGATTTCAGACTGTTGACTCATTCTTCCGAGTGCAACTGGGCATGCTCTGCAGAACCATCCCTACATCACATTCATGTCTGGCTGGTTGCAGACCGGAGAGCTGACTACATTTGATGCTGTTGACTGTTGCTAATGCTGATTGCTTTGGTGGGTCATTCAGACTTGTCTGCAGCTGGGGTAGGAGCATCCTTCCTGGTGTACTTCTAGAGCTGCCCCATGATGAGACTGATCTGGAACTATTTTCTTTCATTAGATAGTTGTGTTGGTTTGGAACTGTTTCCAGACAGGTAACCTAAAGGCCAGAGAATATGGGCTGGGGAGAATCATCAATTGCTGATCCTTATGAGAGTGTGCTTCATATCCACAGCAAAAGTAGTGCAATCATTTGTCAGGGATACCATAGACAAGTAGTAATTGAAAGAGGAAAAGAATTGCATTGCTCTCTAGTGGTCAGTGTTCCCTTCTGAGATGAGCAGTGGATTCAAATTAGAAGAGTCTCAGGGTAGGTGAGGAGCAGAGGTGGTGGGCAATGATCCTCTGGGTGTAGGAGTGCTGTTGAGGGGATGTGCCCTGCTCTGCTTAGCAAAGGCAACTGTTTAAATTGGGCAGAGATCTTGTCCCTCAAATTCCCAAGCTGAGTGCCATGGGGGGCAGCTGGTGATTCAGGGAGTGGGAAGAGTTAACACCTGATTTCAAAAGACTTGCTAGAATGATGTGTGCATTTGGGAGCTTTCAAAAGATGCTAATAAAGCTTTCCTGCTCTAAAAGGTGAATTGCAAGGAGATGTCAAGAGAGAGATGTATTCATGCCGTGTAAACATCTGACATCAGAGCCTCATCTGAATGATTCACCTGAGCATGTTTCCGGCTCTGAGTTATGCCCCAGACAGCTTGTGTGTTCCCACTGACTATAGATGCCCAAGAGCTATAGGGTAAAACCAGGTCTGTGCATCCTTTGCAGGGGATGTAGGAGAGCAATGCAGTTGTAGACACACTTTTGTTTAAAATACGCAGATGAACATTCTCCTGATAACTGTTGGATTGAGTAACATGGGTGCAAATGAGGTTTATTTTTACTCCATGTTTTAGGTGCTCTTTTTGCTCTGGTCCAAGATGTGGTGCTCTGTGAGGTCCACATAAATTACCAAAATTCACTATATTTAAACTCACTTTATCAGTGGAGTCCAGTTGCTTTCTAAGTGTGTGTCTTCTCACTGCGTAGGGGAATGCATTTAACAAGGATTTACTGTGTTATGTGCATGATCATATGGTGAAGCAGCTGAGCGTTTACAGCAGTTCTCCAGAGCTGAACTAATGAGTATGTGATTTAGTTTGCAAATAATATATTCTGCATTGGGTACAGTCATGGTAGTGAGCCAGTATCTAGGTCTGAACAACAGGAAGTTAGTTTGCCTGTTGTAATTTCCAGGCAGACCTCAAAATAAGGAGTCTGAGCAATAACACAGATCTCAGTTTCTTAAGGAATTTGAAAGAACAGTTCCAGAGAAGTCTAGAATCAGATGCAGTGTAATTGCTGCATCTCATAGCAAAGAAGACTGTGGGGAAGAGCCTGAAATGTACAGAACAGTCTTCAAGCAGAAGGGCTCAGTTTGTCTTCTGAGGATGACAGATGAGAAGGAACAGGACCTTCAGGGAGTTATCCACGACTCTTCCATAACTTATTTCTGGCAGATGCTACTTGTGAGAGAGGAAGCAGGTGACTGCAACTTCAGACTCCATTCCTATTAGAGCTGTTTACTTCCAAAACAGTTGTATGGGCACAATACACCAGTGAGCCTGACCTACAGGGTCAGACACTGGGTGTTCTGCTGGCAGTTTGGTACCCAGGTAGACTTGGCAGTGGCTGTGCCCGTGTTGCACTGCATGTGATTCTTCAAGAATTCATCACAGAGCTCTGCTTGTGGGTGTCTGTGCAGTTTTATCTGGGCTGTGTCTAACTCTGTACAGAGATTTGTGTGTCTCCAGTCTGTAATGTCACTAAACCAGTGTGATTCTCTTTGCTTCCATCGCTGCTGTCTTTCCTGCAGCTCTAACTGTGTTTCAGTGCAGGGGAGCTGATGACTTTACCTTGCTCTGGAGTACTGAAGAAATACATATGGTAATAAAGCAAAGGTTTTGTAACCCTGACCTTGAGTCATCTGCATTGTGTACTACACACATCAAGAGACCTTTTCCTTCCTCTTGTGCATAGCTTTAAATCCTCCATGCAGAAAGGTTATTGTCCATAAAAATTGATTTTGGGTAGCTGCTTGTAACTCACCCACCATTTTTCAACGTTATCTTCCTGGTGTTCAGTAACAGTGTCATGGATACGTACCTGGATACTCAATTTGCATGTGATGGTGTTTCTGGGAAATTTGAGCCAGATTTACATAACTGAGGTTCTATAAAATATTTAGGAGTGCATGAAAACATCTTGCAACTGTGACATTGTTGGCTCAGTAACACTAAGGCTGAGCAGCAGCTCTTCATTCCTAAAGGAGTAAACTTTTTGGCATGATGCAGAGTAAGCAGCTGGTGCAGAATAAGGTACTTAAACATCACGGAAAGTTTTGGTATTATGAGTTGACTAAATTAAGAGAGCTTTTTGACTGCAAAACATTCGAGTTTTTTTGTTGTTTTCTTTCTCGTTTCCATAGGCAGATACTGGACATTAGTGTGTGCTTGAGATGCCGATAAGTTTGGGTTTTTTTGGTTTGGACTTTGAAACAAAGAAAACAGTTTTAGTAGTTGCTTCTGTAGAATTCTTGAATCCAGTGATCCACTGACCAATAACATGTCCATAAAACCATCTCATATAGGAGATCCATGTACTCATTTAGTGACCCTGCAAAGTTGTCATTAGGATCTTGTTAATGACAAATAAAGTAAGTAGTTTTACTTCCTAAAAGTAGGAAGGAAGAGGAATATACCTGCAGTTAGTGATTAATGCTCTCCCAGTTAGTAAGATGTTGATTTTCAGCAAGGATGATGTGAAGGGTTCCTACAGCTAACACTTCGAGAAAGTCCTTATGTGAAATACTGTCTTTGTCTTGTTGAAACCTTTTAAATTGATCTGGATTTATATTCTGGTCAAAAGGGGGGGAAAATGCTATAAAATGCTTGATTTAGTTGGGAAAAAAATCCCACTTACTAATTTGAAAGAAGGGAAAATGCTGTTTGAGACTTGCATTGCAAAAGCACAATCCAGCAGCAGTGCTGGCTGAAAATGAGGTTTCCTCTATGGAGATCCACAGTTTTGACAATATGTACTCTTGATTGTTTCCTCCATCCAGGACGGGGTGACATTCAGCCCCAGTTGGATAGTGCTTTACAAGATGTCAATGATAAGTACCTGCTGCTTGAAGAAACCGAGAAGCAAGCTGTCAGAAAAGCTCTGATCGAGGAGCGCGGTCGATTCTGTGCTTTCATCTCCATGCTGCGCCCCGTGATAGTAAGAGCTCTCCATTTTAAGTCAGTACAATTCACAAATCAGACAAATGGCCAAAAGTCTCTAAAAAGAGTAGCTCTTTGTGTCTGAAGAATAAATTTTTAGAGCCAAAATTCAACCTGCCTAGAAAGTGGCAAAGAGTCAGGACCGTTCTTTTAGGTATTTGGAGTAATTCAGCTGACACTGAAATCTTTAAAGATGACTAATGGGGAAACAATGGGCACAAAGACTTAAGTGGGCCTGAGTTCCTTATGCATACGAACCTGAGACTTTGCTCATGCAGTTTTTCCACTGCTTTTTTCCTTAACATCCCCCTTTAATAGAAATCTTCCTTACCACTACTCCAGTCCTAGGACTGATAAATGCTTCAAGACCTCCCCTGTGTATATAAGATGACATTATCTGACAGATTGCAGGCTGCTTCCATGCAGTTTTCTGGTAGCTCTTTTCCTCCTACATGACAGCTTTTTCAGTTCATTGAAAAGGTTTGGGTATATTGTCATCATCTGAGGTTGTCTGAAGCCCACTGATGAATCGTTTATGGCTTTGTGCAAGCATGATGCATTTCTGAAAGGTCTCCAGTGTACTGGGAAAATGTTCCCAATGCCTGTTTACAAAGAGCATCAGTCTTAACGGAGAAGCATGCTTAGGGAAGTAGGGAGGTGACAGCTGAGCAGGAGGAGGTGAATTCCAGACTCTGAGGTCCTGGATGAAATTGCCATGGTAGCTATGGTATTACCATGGTAATTTACAGTGCAGGAATCATCTGAGTTAGCTGTTGATGTATCTTGAACCAGAATGAATCATCGATGTATTAATGCTCTGTACCTGGGTAGTGCCTTTATCTCAAAAGTTTCCAAAAACTAGGAAAAAGTATGAGTTTAATCCCTGTTTATGTTCAAGGTTAAAATCCTAAGGGCATATTAGTGAGTGTACACAGAAGAGTTAAATCTTTTCCAAATGCAGCAGAAATTACACTCTTTTTCTGAAGATGTCACCAAAAGAGGGCTGAGACTTATTTATCTCATTGATGAGAGAAACAATTTCTGGGCCTCAGAACTTACAGCAATCTTAAAGTAGTTATTACACTCTAATATTTTCAGTCCTCTTTCATAAGAAATGATTGCTTTATGGGCAAAGAAAAAGCAGCTCTGCTGGGCATTCCCAAAGGCATCAACAAAACGGAGGTGGTTATGTACTGGGTTACAGGTGTGATGTTTAAAACCAAGGCTGTGATTAATCTTGCTCTTTTATCTTTTCAGGAAGAAGAAATATCAATGCTGGGAGAAATAACCCATTTACAAACCATATCAGATGACCTGAAAAGTCTCACCATGGATCCACACAAGTTGCCATCTTCAAGTGAACAGGTTAGTTCATGTCACCTGAAAACATTTTTAGTTGCACCAGTTTTCCGTTGTGTTATGAGGGATATTGACTACTCACACTCAGTGCCTCAGTGTTATGTTTTTTAGATGCTTCTCTGCAGCAAGGTCATTTTTAACAATAGATTTAAAAAAAAATAGATTTTGAAGTGCTGACTGAGTGCTCCTGAAGTATTTGGTGAGACCACTGTGAAGTGGCAGCAGTGACACTTTGAAGTATATGAAGATGCCCAATTTCTGCTGAGAGAGGAAGGAGTGTCATCTCACCTCACATTTGAGCATCCTTGTCTTTATGTGGTTGCAAGATTGCTGGGATTAGATAGCTTGATGGAGCGTAAAGGAGGGAAGCTCTGCTGTGGTTGAATACTGGATCTTTGATTAGTTTTTTTTTAATGCAACAGTTTTTAAACTTTAAGGCTGTAATGGGTTTTTTAGGGAATTAAAACCACAACAAAACAAAGCAGCATGCATAAAATAAATCTCCAGTTTACTCTTCAAAGATGTTTTCATTCAAATCTGAGCTTTCCATCACTGATAGCCCTACTGCTGAAGTATGGTAGCTCCTGAAAAGCTAAGGATGAAGCTGCCTTTCCTGAGTAATATACACAGTGTAGTTCTGGAAGAGAACTGAGATTGGGTCAGTTGGCACTGAAAGGTTGTTGTTGTGATGAATGTTGTATGACGAGCAGATGCTTTCTGTTAATAGGGGGGAGAAATTCCACGTCCTTGATGCTATTGATTATCTTTCATCAGGTAATTTTAGATTTGAAAGGTTCTGATTACAGCTGGTCTTATCAGACTCCTCCATCCTCTCCCAGTACTACCATGTCCAGAAAATCTAGTGTTTGCAGGTAAGTAGACTGGTAATATTTAATTTTAACCTGTTTGGGGACAAAGGGAGGCAAGTTCAGACTGTGATATGGATTTATATGCATTCTTAAATCTTAAATAATGACTCTTAATGAAATCAACCCCTCATGGTCTTTATCCATTTAAGTGTGTGACTGGGAATATTAAAAAGGATGGGCATGACTGAACAACTTTTGAACTCAAGGCAACTAGAAGATGCTTTTGATTCAGTTCTCTTGAATCCATTTCAGGTCAAAGAGCAGACTGTACTGATCTAAGCTCTGATACTGTGCATTCAGAATTTCCTTTTCTGTTTTTCATGTGATGACTTTTTAGATTATTCTAAGTAGCTGTTACTAATCACTTAAACAGTTTGAAAAGGAAAAACGTCCTTGCCAGTTGCCCTATCAGTCTGCTAGATGGAAATGCTTTTTTGATAGAAGTTTTTTTGACTGTTTAATGCTGTCTAATGCTGTCCTGGAATATGTTGAAACACTGGATTCTGTCTATGCTTTCTCTGTAAAAACTGTTTTCTCTCATAAAACAGTTTATTAGCATGTTGCCCCCATACCCTGGTGTCTACATTTACTCTTTCCTTTTACTGAAAAGGAAGATATCCTATTGTGTATTCTGCTCAACACCTTTCTAGCTGCTCTCAAATGATTACCTTTTAGTTTGCTTTATGAATTATGTACTACAGGTTCCCTGTGTATGAGCAAAGTTACCTATAGCATGTCAGAGCAAGTGAACATGACTTCTTCTATGTACCTACTTGTCTCTGCATGCAGATATATATAAAATAACCTTCAGTACTTTTATATATATATATATGTGAAAACATGCATATTTAGAGCAATGAGCACAGGCTGAAAGATGCAATATCCTGAAGCTGTAAAAGAAAATGGCAGAAAAAAACCCCCAAAAGCCCATCATCTGTTCTTAATCAACCTCATCTTCTTGTGTGGTAAAATCTGTCTGGCAACAGACTGTTGTGTATGGGTAAAGTAAGGCAAATCTCCTCTTCCCCTGCTCCAAGTTGACTTGGACATCTTCTGTGTACATGGCATTTGTGAACAGGAGGTGCAGTCCTCACCCGTGTATCCTTCAGAGCTATCCCTTCAGCTAGTCAGTGGGCTCCTGCCAACAAAAGTAGGAAGCTGCCTTCAGATTGATGTATCCTGCTAGTCCTGCTCAGCCACCCGAGCAGGAAGCTTCAGAGGCTCCCACATTGCAGCTAGTGTGTTGTTGCTGTCATTCATGGACACTGGAGATTAAAAATGAATCTCTCTGTTTGAAAACTCAAATATTTTTATGGATATTCATTTGGAGTTTTAATTCTCTGACCATCTTACTAATTAAACCTGCGTACCCAGAGGTTTGACTTCACTCACTGTCCCATCACATGCTTTCTTCCTGGTAGGTAGCCTTTATGTGAGTGTAACTTGTTGCAGGTACTCTGAAGCACGGGGTTTCAGTGATGCTTCCAAAAGTCTCACAGGTTTGCCTGCTGACTGACAAGGCTAACAAGGTTAGACTGGTTGCAATGGCACATCTAGAGGCAGACTTTCAGATGAAGTGTGATGCCTTCGGACCCCATGCTAGGGATCCCATTGAAAATTTGGGCCATGGTGCAAGAGCAATAAGGTGTAAGGTGGGAACAGGAGAGAGCCATCAGCAGAGGGTTTTGTGCAAGTGCTAGAGGGCACGTAGTGATCCAGCCCTTCATCCCTAACCTCACTTTGAACTCTGAGTGGCTACAGAATTTGATTATTTGGGTACAATTGAAGGTAAAATGCCATTTTCTCTCTAATTGTAAGGGATACTGCAGCTGCTACAGTTCTTTACTGATATATATGTGCATATATATATATTTAAATTTAATTTGTCAGCATTTTTTCTTTTCCGGTTTATGCTGCCTGTTGCTAGAGACATGTGGAATGTTAATTGTACTGTATATGGGTCTCTCCCCACCCCGCCCTTGTGTCTTTTCCTCTCCCCCTTCCTTTCTTTGTTCCTTTTGTCTCTCACAGCAGTCTGAACAGCGTTAACAGTAGTGATTCCCGGTCCAGTGGCTCGCACTCGCACTCACCTAGTTCACACTATCGCTATCGCAGCTCCAATCTGCCTCAGCAGGCACCCATGAGGCTGTCCAGTGTGTCCTCCCATGATTCTGGATTCATGTCCCAGGATGCTTTCCAGTCCAAATCGCCATCCCCCATGCCACCAGAAGCACCTAACCAGGTACGTGCAAGCATGAGAACAAAAAACTGAGCGTGAGCTGGACTCTCTTAACTTGGCTCACCTTTCACAAAAAGGATCTGGTGTGGTTTTGGGGTACCTTGGAGTCAGGTTAAACACTGAGGGTAAGGTTGGTCTCACTGCACGTCATCCATCTAAAAGTTGGGCCTCTAGCTGGAGTAATTTATGCTGCTTTTGCAGCATCCCTGAGAAGAGGGATGAGTTGCTCTCAGGGAATTTGGTTTTCACTCTGGCTCTGAAGGGAGCCTAGATGCCTAACTTTCAGATACATATAGACAAGGTAGAGCAAGAAGTCCCACCTCACAGGAGGGAATAATATTACCTTGACCCACTGAGGTTACCAGATAATATCCTGCACAGATTGCAAGTCGTTAATATATGGTGGCTGGTTACTGTTTAATGGACAAGTGTCAGTGCCAGAACAGCCCTCTGACAGCCCTAGTATTGACACTAGTGGCTTCAGCATCAGACAGACTACTTTTATTCCTCCCCTGCAAAGGGCCTGGAAAAATCAAAATGCCATTAACAGTGTGATATGAAATTGGTTTTGCTGGTTTTTATGACATCCCGTTCTGCAGATGGGGCTGCTCTTTTTGGCTCTCAGTTGAGCACCTTGCAGAAATAAGGTTTTTGCATGAAAATAAGAGGCATTTTTAATTCTTTCTGGAACTCATCAGAAGTGTTCGCATAGTCATATATGGTAAGATCCTGAACCCAGCCAAACTAACAGGATTTCACTACAAATATAAGCAGAACTTTTCTAGAGCATTTTTTGGTCTGCAGGAGGAAGCTGCTGCTCTATTTGCTCATGGCCTCATTCCTCCTGCAGGCGGAGGTTTGTGTGCCTCCATGGCACATATCCTTCAGCACAGGAATAATCTTTTCTATTTTGGGTATTTTTTTTTTAACAAATCACACTGCAACTGCAATATTTTTTAAATAAGGCTGAGCTGCCATCTCACGTTATAAATCCCATCATAAATCTTAGTTACAAAACTGAGGTGGAGCTAATATCCTGTTGTTGAGTATCACTCATTTTTTAGTACAACCTGAGGTCACTGGAGAAGATTGTCCTTTAGTTTAATAAATGTAGCTGCACTCCTTTTCCTGTGCTGGGGAGTTGATGGTTTTAATCCTCGAGGTCAGCAAGGAGCCAGCAGTTTCAATGTTAGCAGTTTCAAAGTGTTACCTGCGCACTGAAGCTGCTCCTACACCACCTTTAACAGCACACAGAGCCTTACTTTTGCAAAGCATTTAGTAAATAGCACCCTCAGTGTAATTTTTAGGGTATCATCCAAAACAACACGGGTTCATTTAAGCTTGGAACATATTCTGAAGGGAAGCTCAACAGTTTTTTAATATATTTACCTCTTTCATTTTAATAGAAATGCTTTCTTTTCAAATGAATGCATCTTCTGCACTGTCCCCAGTCTGGACATCACCATTTTTTATAGATGACATCCTGAAGAACTTTGTGCACACTACTAAAATGAATGTTTTGTTTAGATTGGCTATGGCTAACCTAAGTGAAATGCAAAAAAGTAAATGAGCAATAATAAAGTAGACTGCAATAGTACCAAGGTAAGGAAGTTGGCTTTTAAGATACATCCATCCGTTATACATGCTAGCATCATCTCTGGTTTTCATAGTATCCACTGCACCTGCATAAAAGGGTGGTAATCTACATGATGATGCTGCGTTTGCAGATGAGGATGTAACTTTGCAATTGCCCTTAGCATGGAAAAAACCCAATACCTCTCTTTGCAAGTTCCCCTGTTAAACAGGGGAGGGAACTTAGGCTGGTGTCAGCTGGCAGAACATCCTGACAGTTGATGGGAGCCATGCTGATTTACACCAGCTAAGTTCATATGCTTTCACTTCACTTTAGAAACCATCCATAAAGTTGCAAACAGATCCAAGCATCACTTGAGCTATTAACGAGCTGTAGGAGGCTGCAGCAGTGTGGTGTTGACTTGACAAGCGTAGTGTGTTGGTATAACAAATAGGTATGTGCTCTGTATGTCTCTAGGTCTGTATACCTTTACTCAGAGGAAAAGGTAACAGATCATTGCCTGGCCGCTTCATCTTTGCTTAAGTGTCTCGCTTTGTATGTTCAGCACTAAGTAAATTGTGTGTGTTGTGCTGACAGATGATTGTGATCGTGAGCTTACCGAGAAGCTGTTCAATTTACAGCGTTACTCCATGTTGTGTGTCTCTAACCAACTGACAGAGCTTCCTTGTGCTACTGTGCTTTTGAGGCTCGGGGCTGGGTGGGGAGGAGCAGCAAACTCAGCTGCTGTGTTTAAAACTCTGATGTCATTGTTTCTAGTAGTGACACTGGGAAAGCAGAAAAGCAAGCTCTGGAATCAACAAAGGAAATTAAAAGCTGTATATCTTGCGCAGGTGGATGCTTTGCTGATGTTTGCTAGCTACGTGCTGTGGCATCTACTGGGGCAACAAAGCTGATTTAATGATGGATTTAAATTAAAGAGTAGAAGAGGGCTACATAAAATTCCCATATTGTGGGACTGAGAATAGCAACAAAGCTGATTTAATGATGGATTTAAAGAGTAGAAGAGGGCTACATGAAATTCCCATATTGTGGGAATGAGAATATATGAATTATGTGAAGCTTTCATACTCTCATCTACATTTTAGACAAGCAAGTGTCACTGAAAATTAATCACAGATTGGGGCAGTGTCTCAAACAAGGAATAATTTATGTATTATATAAGGAATAATAAAATAGAGATTTAAACAAGATCAAGATTATACCAGAGGAAAGGTGACTGGCAAAATGAAGACTGCTTTTCAGTGCATAGCTGCTGAGCAGTAAGTCTTTACAGTTACCACACTCTGCATAGAAGATAGGGCAAAAGCAATTACAAAACCAGACTCTGCCCTTACACTGGTTTAGACCAATCACTTTTCTGCAGTGTGGATGTTAGCATCACTGCGAGTGAAAGTGTTTGGCCTGTAACAGATAGCTGTACATGTGGAAGGGTCACTGTAAAGTGCTTTATTCTTAATTAAGCAAGTACATTTGGGTGTACCTTAGCAGCTGGAAAAGCATCACAGGTCTCTTCCTGGAGCAGAACAGTTTCTCTGAATGCCACATGTGAGGTCAGCCATGGCCAGCATTGCCCGTGGCATGTACTGACACCAGGTAAAGCCCGTCGGACAGACCTGCTGCTGGGAGCACAGACTGGCTCTGCATGAGCACTGAACATGGCTGGTGCTGCTAAACCCACACATGGCCCTGTGTAAGAGGCAGACTGAGGTCTAGGAGTATCTGTGATGAAGTAATGTGGTAGTAGTACTGTTATATTTGAGGATAATAATACAAGGATCAATGGACTTGGAGTGCAGACACACGGGGGGAAGCAATTAGACAGTTGGATTTTAGAGGCTGCTTATGACTTCCTGGGGATGAAAGCAGATGAAGAAGAGGAAAAACTGCTGATGTGCTGTCAAGCAATAGAGGATTAAGTCTTTATTGTTAGAATATTCTGGAAATAGCTTTCTATAAACAGTGAAATAGAAGGAAGCTAAATGTGAACTTGCTTCTGCATGTACAGATTAGCAAGCTGGAAAGATGCTGCTTTTGAGGAGACCCCATTGCTTTTACGTAGCTTGAGGTTAGAACAGGGAAAATATATTGTTACAACTGTTTTCCATGTAAATTAAGAAATGCTCCAAAATCAGACCTTAAAACCAAGAGCAAAATCAAACCCTGAATTGAATCTGTAAATAATCCCTGGTATTTGTTTCTGCTTAAATTCCTTTTTTAAGTTCAGTTTCCCAACAGTTTGTCCCTGAGTAGAAGAGAGAGGTCAGTAGAGACACATTCCGGGAAGTGAGGCAAATTGAGGTGGTGACTTTGAGTTACTATCCAGAGCTTCTTAAAGAGTAACTGAGATGTCTTCCACTGTCTGTAGAGAGACACTGGTCCAAGCTCTTCATTAGGATTTGGTCTCTTGGGAGAGCCCAGGGAGCTCTGTTCAGTAGCTGAGGAAGGGAAGGGGTTAAGTAAATAATACTGTATTTGAATGGAAAACATAGCAGACAAAGGATGCAAGTAATCCAAGGTAACAGCAGTTCTTTTATAGGTTAGTAGGACAACAGATGGAAAACACAATCATACAGTCCAATAGCCCAAAATACAGCTTTTTTTTTCTATCCTTGCTGGAATTCATACATACCACAGCAAGCAGTGGGACGCTACCCAAGAACAAGCCTTGGCACAATGTCTGAGAGACCAGATACCAAGCTACACATGTACAACATGCATTTGAGGAACTGGTTATTGCCGGGCAGAGCACAGTTTAAGCTTTCTGCTGATACTGTTAACTTCAAGCCTTTTCTCAGAAGAGATGGTTTGAGTGCAGAGCAGAACCACCATTACCGCAGCTGTGGGGAAACAAAACTTATATCCCAGGGTTAAAATAGCTAAAATGGAAGAAGTAATTTTAAAAATTAATCAAACTAAACAGGCAGTGAAAAAAGGAATCGACAAAAATAAGTTGAAAACACCCAGCAGTCAAATTTCTCACTCCGTGGGGTGTGGAGGAGAAACTGCTCTGCCCGGTGTTTGCCTGTGTGTGTCTCCAGGAGCGCCTGTGCCAGTGCACTTAGAACAAGCACTCAAACATTTGGAGGCTTTTTGCCCAAGCAGTGACTGTGCAGTTTCTGTTTTCACCCCTTTATGTACTTCCTACTAAGAAACGAAGGGTGGTCTGTGCTTCCCATACCCAGCTCCAACCATTCCAGACTGTTTCTGCATCTGATCCAGGCAGCCTTTGACCTGCTGTCACTCGTGTTTTCTTTACACCTTTCCTTCCAGGAGTTCAGCATTCTCTGCCTCCTTCTCCATCGTTTTCTCACTGTTGTAATCCTTTTTTAGCAAGACCTTCCTTGCTCCATCCAAGTTTCTCAAGACGAGGAGACCCTGTTTCCCTACCACCACTTCTTGCATTTCCTTCAGGAGTTCTCCCCATGGCATCTTGGTTCACCCTTGGTCTAGCTTTGCCTGCTGGAACTGGCCGTGCTGAGTTAGTGGGAGAGTCCTGTCTTCCATCTTTTTTTTCACCTTGGAATCATTTTATTGCATAAATAAGTTCACCACTTCCAGGCTTTTCTCCCCATACACCAAATAAACAGAACAATTCCTTGCATCTTCAAAATGTGCATTTTTGGCCTTTTCCCATTTATTTGCTACATGCAGCTTTATTGCTAATAAACCTCATTTATGACCCATTTCTACCATTACTTGACATAATCTCATGAAGTTTCTGGCTTGTAAACAGGAAAAGTCTATTACATGTAAACTCCAAATTCTCACTTGTCATCACAGGGCCATCTGCAGAAAACAAGGTGGCACGATGCTGTGTGTGGAACTCAGACCCTTCTTTGTGTGCCCTGCCATGTGCAGAGTGTGCAGACCCAGGAGGGCCTTACAGACCATAAATATGGGGGGTTCAAAAAGCATTTTCTGTAATTACATTTTTCTTTCCTTTTGTTTTTTTCCCTGGCCAAAGTGTAACACTAGTGTGAGTGTTCTCATGGGGCTTCTCAAACCGTTTCTTTTCTGAGCTACCTGCAGTGTCAGGCAGAACTCTGGAGATTTAGCGTAAAAGCTAATTTTCCATAATGTATTTTTCTCTAAGGATAGAAGAAATAGGCTCATTTCCATTTAGGGTACTGTAGTTGTGTCTGACAGCAGAGTCAACTGCAGCTCATGTTTGTCAGTATTCTTATTTTTAGAGGTTTTTTCCTGTAAAAGGAGTTGCATTAAATCAAGAATGAGACAAGTTCCACAAAACATCGTTGGGTACTCCACTGCGTACTTGTCACTTCTCTCCTTAACAGGTTTGTGTCATTTGCTGTAGCTTCTTCTGATACACCTCAACTCTTACTGCCTCGTTAGCTGAGCTTACTTGCACCCTAAACACATTTGACAGGTCACCCGCAGATCTGACCTCACGTCAGCATAAGATGGGATATGTGTTATTTCTATAAAATAATCCACCACTTTACATGGTTTTTAAATTCATTTCAGCAGCCTTTGCAAAGTTTCACTTAAACCTACAGTTTGCTGTGAAGCTCAAGATGCTGATACTGTATTTCTTCTCAACAGCCCCAGAAGTCTTCACCAGAATCCTTATGGTGATGATGTTCTGTCTCAGGATACTGATACCTCTTTTTACCTAGGCAATTAGCTATACACTCCTGATATGTAGCTTCTGGCGAGCTTTGAGACAACTTCTGGGTGTTAGCAGTAATTGCTCCTCTACAGTGCCTCTTACCCAGCTATCTTTATTGCAGACTCACCCCAAGATCCCATCCAAGGTTAACTGATGGAATTTTATTTCAGATGAGATTTCCCTCCCTCCTCAAGTGCCGTTGCTTGAGAACTGAGGCTTTGCAACACTAACTTGATACAAGAGCACGTTCTCTCTGCTGTCATAAAATAAAATGCCAGGGATATGTTTAGACAGACTTGCTTCACAGGTCTTGGACTTCCAGAGGATGAAATCGTCTTGCTAGTGCTGAATTTCCTGACAGTCAATAGAGCTCTGTACTGCCCTGACTACTTTGCCTATATTCTTGACCATTTCTGAGCACTTGGTGGGACCTGCATGCACACCCCTACTGAGGGGCTGCCGCTTCCAAGGGGGAGATGTGTAAAAGCATTGTAGTTGGTAAAATGGTCCATGTGGCTATTCACCTTGGCCTACCTGTAGGTGAATTAGATGCTGTTGTAGAGGTCTTGCAGCAGCAAATGTCCCTAAAGGCATGCACTGGAAACTGGAAGATAAATTCCTAGGTAGGAGCAAAATGTCTGAGGTGTTTGGTGGGCACTGTCCTGCATTTCCTTCGCTCTCCATCCAAGTCCCTGATACTTTCTCTCACTGCTGTTAAGAGAAAGCACTCAGCAGAGTACCTGTAACCTTCGTATTGGCTGCTGGGCAGAAAAGTTTGAGTCAGAGTGCTTTTGGTGTATGCATACTACCCAGAGGCACATGCATACAGATAATGCACTTTGGAAACCTCCAATTCGGGTAAGTATCACTTCTTTCTCTGTTCCATAATATTTGAACTCGGATGAGTTTTTCACAAGCACTTTTGCAGATCAGAATATCCGAGAACTTGTGAATGTAAGTGGCGTTTGCTGCTCCATGTTTGAAATCTAAACTTTGTGTCTTTGAAGTACTGATGATCTGCGTATCTGTATAAATCAGTTGTCTCAGCACATTGCATGGTTGGACCGTAGGTGCCTTCAGCTCCCTCAGCTTCTTGCTCTGAGACAGCTAACAGAATTGAGGCGCTGAAGTTGCAATGGGGAGTTGAGATCACTGCCTCAAGTCCCTCATTCCCAAGCAGCGTGGCAAGTTCTCGCATTAAGCAAATGGCTTGTTTTGTTTCTCATAGATTTCCTGAACATTAGCAATGGTTTTGAGCAGTTTCTGATTGATTTTAAAAGCCTAACCCTTTGCTTCTCTCATCCTTCCCTCTCTCCTGTGTGTCTCTGTGTGTGTGCTTTTTGTCTTTTTGGTTTTGTTGTTGTTTGTGTTGGTTTTTTTTCCCTTTTTGGTGGCTTGTGTCTCCCTCCCCTGCGTTGCGGTGCTGTTTTACGCTGCAGAATTCGTCCAGCTCTGCCTCTTCAGAAGCCTCTGAAACCTGCCAGTCAGTGAGCGAGTGCAGTTCCCCCACCTCAGTCAGCTCAGGCTCCACCATGGGGGCTTGGGCCTCCACAGATAAGGTGAAAAACTTCATCTCAAAGACATACAAACCTACCAGGTCGTTATCCAAACCCAGCAATGTGTGGACAAATAAAGTGCATGGGGCCCAGCCAGGATTCCTCTCTGTGAAGATGAGAATAGGAACTGTTGCACTCTCCCTTAGGAATGAAATCTGTTTGAATAAACCACAGTGGCACTTGCCTTTAGACTACTTGCTGGGGGGAAGCTACAAATTGGGCATTTTACAGAGTTAATTTTCTACAAAAAGCTTCTTTGTCCACCTTTCCTACTCAAAGAGATTGTGGAACACTGCCCAGTCCCAGCTGGCTGCCTAACAAAGAGCATCCTGCCCAGGTTTTACTATTTGTGGCTTCTCCCCTCTCTCCCATTAGGTAGCATTTGAGCAATTGGGGTTTGGCTTTGACAAGAACGAAAAGGAAAACAAAAGAATAGTTTGGAATAAATTCTGTGGGATACACTCTGAATGAGGGGAGGAGGTGATAGCAGTCTCCATTCTCATCTGGAAGATCCTTGCTGTTGGTTTCCTCTTTTTTTCCTTCTATGTCATCACACAGCCAGCACACATCATGTTTGAAGGCTCTATGCTTTTCCTCTCTGTCCAGCTACGCAGAATAAATGCCAGCAATGCAAATGCCTCCAGTATTGGGAATGTTTTGTTTCTGTGTCTGCAGTCTGCAGGATACCTAACTTGCAAAGGCTGTTTTCAGTGTGCTGCTTTCATGGACAGAAGGCAAAGCTGCTCAGCCTGGAGACAGTGACTGCTAGATTGATGTCTGAAATTTGTTACACCACATAACAATTTTCAAGCAATCTCACTTCTGTACCAAGCATTGTGTCGGTTTTCTGTTGTTTATGTGCAGCAAAGCTAAGCTTTCTCTTTCTTTTGTTTTACGATACAGAAGTTTCCTCCCTCGAGCCATCAGTCACAGTGTATTTTCATATTCATTCTGTTTATATTAATTTCTCTGATTTTGTTTTTTTTTTATTTGTTTCGTTTCCAGTTGTCTAATGGGTTTTATCACTGTAGTTTATCAAGTGACCCATCCGTAGCTTCAGTTGGTGCAGGTCCTTTCCCTCATTTCCCGCCTGTCTCCCGCGCGTGGACTCGGGCTCCCTCAGCCCTCCTTCCAGACTACGCTCATTATTACACCATTGGGCCAGGCATGTTACCATCATCTAAGATCCCTAGCTGGAAGGTTTGTGTTCCTTTTGTTGTGGCAGTCCTCACCTCCTCATCCCAACAGTGTGCACACGGCAGTTGTTGCTCCCTTTCGGTCCATGTAATTACCCGTTGATTTCCTCTGTTTAATGTCACTCTGAATGGGCACTGCATGGTGATAATCAGAGAGCTAATATCTGGTCGGGGGTGTTTCTGAATGCGTTTGTCTGTCCTGGCACTGCCCAACACATGTTAAAGCTGACAACACGTAGGTAGGGAGGAATAGTTTAACTCTGGAACATTGGTGAAAGCACTCTGGGCTCTATTCAGCAAGAAAAGAGCTTGTTTAGCACCGTCAAAGCACTCACTTGAGCAGGGAAGTGCAGACTCAGCATCCCGTTGGCTTACTGAAACCCTGTGTGGAAGGATGTGCTGTTCTCACTGTGGTAGCTGTAGGCAGATAGGCTCTTGCATACCCAGCTGGAGTGGCTCCAGAGGGGGGGCATCTTTATGACTGAAGCTGTCCCAGCTTCTCTGCACAGACTGAACGTGCTCACCCAGCTTGTTCTGCTCCCTTGGGTGAGACCACCAAAACAGTCAGAGTGCAGCAACGTCTTCCAGTTGCTCCAGTTGGATCTGCAGGGGTCTTCCTTGGCATCAAAATGTCTCTGGTCTGCCAGAGCCTTGGCTCTTGTCCCTGCCAGTCAGTTCCCCTGGGAGACTGCCCAAGAGCAAGCCTGTTGCCCTGAATCTTTGCAAGGCTGATGGGCAGCTCATGGTACCTACACAGGTCTTAGGTGCCTGTGGATGGTTATAGGATATTGCACATGCACCATGGGACCTTTCTTATACATGTAAATTGAGGTACCTTGTTATGGATCCCCCTAATCTGTTTCTCCAGCAGCTGGGGACTGTTGAGACATACACACAGCGTGGCCACAGTGGTCCTGGGGCTTCAGGGTCACCGGTTGTGTCCATGCCAGAAACGCTTTGTCAGTGCAAACCCCTTAGAGCAGAGACACAGCTGTGAAGGCAAAGCAGAGCTTCATATCTGTTAATAAAACCAAAATGCCTGAAACCAGGGGTTCTCTCAGTGCAGCTGCCTTGCACTTGCCATACCTTGGGCTGAGACACATGCGAGTGAAAATCACACACAGGTTCTTTGATTTTTAAAGCACTCCTTGTCTTGGGGAAGGAAAACTCTCTTAGGATCAGGCTTGCCCCTACCTGTGGGGAGCTGCTGCTTAGCAGTGGTTCTGCGTCCCAGCACAGGTCACTGATCAGTCCTGCTCTTGTGTGGTCTCTGGACACTCTCAGGACTTTGCTTAATAGAGCCCTGAGTGAAGAGAGCCCTCGTGGCCTGAGGAGTTTCTGTTTCAGATTTGGCACCAGTGGTTCAGTGAAGTCTTTCTTCAGTACAGATCTCTCTCTTACAAACTAGATTTCAGCTAGTCAGTAAACCGAGATTGCTCAGAGTACCTTGCTCTTCTGATGGGTATCAAAAATGTGTTCAAGCCTAATTTTTCAGAATTGAAGACATTCCAAACAGCACGTAATGGAGAACTTGTGTCCATCTAGAACAGTTACACCACTGATTGGACATACATGCATATTTTCTGCTGTGTGCCAGTGATTTTTACATTTGAACTCCTGAAAATACAGGCTTTAACACAATGGAATTCCATTTAGAAAAAACTGTAGTATTAAAATGTTAAATATCTTCCTGTAAGAACACCTAGAATAGGAAATCTAGGTTCCCTTTAATAGAGGGAGTAGGTTTGATAAATGGAGATCTTTAATATCCTCACAATTAATTTACATCTGGCCTTATTCAGAAAGGCACATCCCGTTTGATACATAACCTGTTGCACTAAAACTGCCCTCGTGCATAGTTTGTGTGTAATTGAAGCCCAGTTCTGACGCAGGCTGTCACTAACAAGCACGTTTCCTTAGGACTGGGCCAAACCAGGCCCATACGATCAGCCGATGGTGAACACGTTGCAGCGTCGCAAGGAGAAGCGGGAGCCAGATGTCAATGGAGGAGCTCCGAGCGGACCCCCCGTGGCCCCGGAGGAGGCCCAGAGACCCCGGAGCATGACGGTGTCGGCTGCCACAAGGGTGACGCTCTGCTTTCAGATACACTGTTTGGTGCAGAGGAGTGGATGTGCTGGCTCCTGCTCGTACTTTCTGATGTGGAGTGAGAGCACAAGGGGGGATGGCTTTAAACTAGAAGAGGGTACCCCGGAGCATGACGGTGTCGGCTGCCACAAGGGTGACGCTCTGCTTTCAGATACACTGTTTGGTGCAGAGGAGTGGATGTGCTGGCTCCTGCTCGTACTTTCTGATGTGGAGTGAGAGCACAAGGGGGGATGGCTTTAAACTAGAAGAGGGTACATTTAGGTTAGACATTAGGAAGAAGTTCTTCCCTGTGAAGGTGCTGAGGCCCTGGCCCAGGTTGCCCAGAGAAGCTGTGGCTGCCCCATCCCTGGCAGTGCTCAAGGCCAGGTTGGACACAGGGGCTTGGAGCAACCTGCTCCTAGTGGAAGGTGTCCCTGCCCGTGGCAGGGGGTTGGACCTGAGTGATCTTTACGGTCCCTTCCAACACAAACCATTCTGTGATTCTGTGTTGGCACGTGTTTATCCGGCCAGCGATACTGGTGAGGTTTTGGTGTGGTCAGTGGAAGCCACAGTGTGAGACAAGGTGCCATTGGGTACTGGCATCTGTAGAGAAACAGCATCCAAAGAAGTTTATGTTTCTAAGCCCTAGTAAGTGGTTGGACGCAGTCTGTTGGGTTGTGATGGGTGACAAACTGCCTGGGAGGAGAGGCAGCTGAAGGTCATGGAGACTGACTCACCCTCCTAGACAAAACGAGTCTCTTCCCTGTGTGTAACCAGCAGGGTGAGGAGATGGAGGCCTGCGAGGAGCTGGCGCTCGCTCTGACAAGAGGGCTGCAGCTGGACACCCAGAGGAGCAGCCGGGATTCCCTGCAGTGCTCCAGCGGCTACAGCACCCAGACAACAACTCCGTGCTGCTCAGAGGACACGATCCCATCGCAAGGTACCCATCCAGCAGATGTTCCCTTTCAGAGCGTTCCCAGCCTGCCCGTCACACACTCACCCCGCGGTGCCAGGGAGCTGTATTCCAGCAGCTGGCACTCACTGGTCACTGTCACTCAGCTGGGGAGAAAGGGACAAATGTTGCTGTTGTGAAGTTTTTTCCAGCTTGGAATGCAGCCTGGATTTATTAATTAAATAGAAACCTGCATTGCTGCGTAGTGAATGTGCTGAATGATCGTATTATTTTCTTATGCATTACTAAAGTGAGCTTTAGCTTAAGGATGCTACCATTTTAAAGAAGATGCTGGAATTACATTTCATGGGTTAAGTGGAATGACGCTGGTATTGCATCCTTCTTGTGGTAGTAGTGTCCTCTCTGGCTATTGTCTTAGCAAATACTCACTCATGAGCTTTGCTTTCTTCTTCCATCAGTGCTCTGAATCTGCTCTTGGTTTCCCTTTGTGACCTTTTATTTCCTACCTAAGCAGAAATATTGTATTTGGAAAAAGAATCCATTGGAGACCTTAACTCGGGCATACCTGGGGAGCTGCAGTAAGGTGTTGGGGTTTGTACCCTGTTTCAGAACCAGCAGCAGGCTGAGAGGTACCGAGTTTGGTGTTTGGGGTTCAGCAACCGCCTTGTTTGCTCAGCCGAGGTCGGTGGTGCTGGGCAGTCACAAGAGGCAGTGGGGCTTGTAGAGGGCCCAGCTTGGCTCAGCAGTTACATGGAAGGGCAGGAACCCGACGCAGTTTCTAAAGCTGAGGCTGAGTTTTCAGAGCTGACAGCTGGGATTTACCTTGTTTGCAAAATAAGCAGATTTGCTGCTGAAATCACTGGTACACAGTCCCCTGCGCCCCACATTGCCCAGCCTACAGTATGCCTTTTAGTCACTGACTGGTTGAAGTATTTGTATCTACAAGTGGTAGCATATGGCTTGTAGAATGCTGGTTTTGGTATCTTAATGTTGCAAACAAGTACTGAATCTTTGCTACTTAATTAGGTCCAGAGATGGTACTGAGTGGTGCGGTTCTTGTTCTCTTTCACAAGAGATGTGGGCACCCCGCAGGCTCAGGGTCACGCTGCTCCAGTGCCTGCCTTCAGCTACACAGTCAGAGAATCTTGGTCACAGTATCTCAGGCTTCCTTCCTCCTGAAGGTGGAACCTCTCTTAATTGCTGTTGGCCTCCAGGCTTTTTTGGCATATATACCTTTTTTTAATACTTAACAGTATATAGTGTATACGTTTTTTGTATATACTTAGTGACACCCCATCCCTGGCAGTGTTCAAGGCCAGGCTGGACACAGGGGCTTTTAGCAACCTGCTCTAGTGGAAGGTGTCCCTGAAGAGGTTGGAACTAGATGATCTTTAAGGTCCCTTCCAACCTAAACCCTTCTCTGGTTCTGTGATGACTGAGCTGTCTTCTGCAGCTTCTTCCTAACTGTGTCTTTTGGCATCAGTTTCAGATTATGATTATTTCTCTGTGAGTGGTGACCAGGAGGCAGAACAACAAGAGTTTGACAAATCCTCCACCATCCCAAGAAACAGCGACATTAGCCAGTCCTATCGCAGAATGTTTCAAACCAAGCGTCCTGCTTCCACCGCAGGTCTGCCCACCACGCTTGGACCGGTCATCGTCACCCCCGGCGTCGCCACCATCAGACGGACCCCTTCCACCAAGCCTTCGGTCAGACGCGGCACCATCGGGGGAGGGCCCATCCCGATCAAGACCCCAGTGATTCCTGTCAAAACACCAACTGTCCCCGACATCCCGGGGGGGCTCCCCGGCACCCTCGCTGGGACGGAAGAGTGTCCCGAGCAAAGTCCCGACTCTCCGGCAGCGGGGGACGGCGGGCAGGGCGTCACCAGCATGCCCTCATCCTCATGGAGCGGACAAGCATCCGTCAACCCTCCGCCGTCCAGCCAGAAACTGAGCGGTGCCGACGAGCAGAGGCAAGCGGTTCCCGAGGGAGAGGGTGAGGAAAGCGACCGGGATGGTGCCGGTGCCCTGGCACCCGCGGGGCAGCCGGAGCTCGATCCCGGAGAGCTGAGTCCCGGGGACGTCCCGCAAGGGGAAGACATGCTGAACGCCATTCGGCGCGGCGTCAAGCTGAAGAAGACGACCACGAATGACCGCTCGGCACCTCGTATTTCCTAGGAGCGGAGAAGCTGCCGGAGTACTAAAGCCACCGAGAGGGAACTGTGAGGAAAGTAGTTTGTCTCTATCCATTCCAATCTGTAATCAATGAAGTTTTTAAGATACTCGGTATCAGACAGTGTGCAAGTACTCTAGAGGAGAAAACAAGGTGAAAGAGCGTAGTAAGACATGATCTTCGCTGGTGTTTTAATTTGTAAATATCAATGATTTTGTTTCTGCCTTTTTTTTTTTTTTTTGGTCTAAGTTACACTTTTAATTTTTTCTGAAGGTGCCAAATCCCATTTACCTTTTTTATAACTCTCTTTGTAAAGTTTTAAATCATAGGAGAAACAAAAACGTGTCGAGTAGTTAAACTTCAGCAAAGGGACTTAAGGAGAATTCGGCTTTTTTGCAAGCTTTTGTAGAGCGCCTTGTCATAGTGAGGGTAAAAAAGAACAAAACAATGGGACTTACTCTGAAGTTTAAGTCAAGCCGTAAGGAACAGATCCTCATTGAAGTATTAAAGAAAATAAATAAAGC